ATTTAGTTGTGATAGCTAAATAACTTTGCTATAAAAGCAAGAAAATTTGTTCCTGCAGTTAATATATATATTAGCAAATTTTTTAGCTATCACAACTAAATAACTTTGCTATAAAAGCAAGAAAATTTGTTCCTGCAGTTAATATATATATTAGCAAATTTTTTAGCTATCACAACTAAATAACTTTGCTATAAAAGCAAGAAAATTTGCTCCTGCAGTTAATATTTTTAGTTGCTCATATATTAGCAAATCTTTTTCTTCCGTGTACCAATAATAAGACCTGCGGAGGAATATTTCCGACGCGGAAAAGGGAAAGCGCAGGTACAGCGCACCGGGGGCAATCGGGGGCAAAACTTTAATCCCCGCGAGCGAATCACGCGGATTTAATATTCGTTTGAACTCGCAAAATCAAAAGCGCTCCATTACGCCACCCCGGCCGCAATGGAATATCCATGCGAAAATATCGCGCACACTCTAATGCGGTCGCGGACCGCGATCCATACTTCGTTAAACTGTGCGCACTCGCGCGCGTACGGCTCTTTTTTTCCATTCAAAGTATCACCGCGACGCGTAAATCCAAATCTCCTCACTTTTTGCCCGAATGGAGAGACTTTAATTGGTAAAAAGCGTCGCAGCACATATCGAGCGCGAATATTCGCACAAACATCCGGAAGAACAGTCAGAACCGGCCGCGTGGCTGTTTGCGAAAACAAAAATACGCGTGACGTCACGTAGGCAGAATGTTTTACCATTGTGCCGCTTCAAAAGGATGTTAATCAATATCTGATTCCCAACGGCCCGTCCGTGATATTTCAACGCTCTGGCAATTGATGTTTTGTATTCCCAGCGAACCCCTAATTTTCCAATGGCAACTGCTAAATTCTGCCCTTCTCTCCCTCCCTTCTTCCTCTATCTATATATCTACTTTCTATATCACTACATAATTAATTTCCGCGTCGCATCTTTTGATCTCCGACGTTCAACGCAGCAAATTACGCTATCAATGAATAGTTTATTGACTGCTAGCTTCAATAGAGAATATTTCAATACGGGATTCTGCGGCCCGGCTCTAACGTTATTGCGGTTCGTTTATTCCCCATCTCTGGTTTCGTGATAAATGAGTTGCATGACTGTGTGTGTGTGTGTGCCACTTAAATGTAAATAAATATTAGCACGCTGCGCGCAAAAAAGTTCGCCTAGAGAGATATTCCGCGTGCGAAAGAGCAGCAGACTACGCTTTCAGAATTAACAGGTGCAATGATTCAATCGTCTCCGCCTCAAAAACTCGCCGGTCAGTCGGAAGAGACCGCGAACGATCGGCGATGAGTGAATCGATGTTAGTCGACTCACCGTGAACGTTACTCTCTCTCTCTCTCTCTCTCTCTCTCTCTCTCTCTCTCTCTCTCTCTCTCCCCCCTTCCCTCTCGCCTTTCCACTTCTTGCCCCAGCCGACCGCAGGGGAAATGAAATGAAAATTCATTCATCTCCGTCCCGACGTTACACAAAACACCGCGCGCATTCGATTGTGCGATGTTCACGTCGAGATAAAGTCCACCAGAGGACTCGTACCTCGTGCAGGAGACGGCGCGAGGAACGGCACGCCGTGGATACACGCGAACCTCCGGCGTCGCGCACTCGCCCGGCCGCCCGTTGAATAACTTTCCACCGACTAATCAATCTTCGAGATCGGATCGCGTTTTCGCTATCTGCGCGCGCGATCGACGATCGATACGCGAATCGACGCTTAATCACAATGACATGGAACGCGGAGGCTCGCATTACCTACCCCCGCGCTAGTCGCGCTAGTCGCGCTCGTCGATCGACCGCCATTGCACGACAATGTAACTGGAAACAGCGGCATATTGCTGCTTAATAGATAGGATTATCGCAGCCGCTTCATCATCCCGCGGCCCTACAACCTGGATGGCCTGTCAGGCGCAACGGCCTATTGGCATTTCGATCGAACATCCCCGCGGAAGCGCTTCATTGGCGATCCCGCCCACGTAATATCGGTATCAGGGGTGCATGGAGGAGGAGGACCAAGTGTCGGGCCAAAGCTGCCCTCTCGTAAGAGTCACTCGTCGCTCACGAATCTCATTTTCCAGCAACCACATCGAATACGCAAGCGAGTATCATCGATTATGCATTGCCCATATCTCGAAATTAATGGAAATTAATGGAAACATTTGGAAGAAATTGCGGATTAATCTATTGCGTTTAAAAGTAATTACAGACAATTTGATATTGATCCGAAGTTTGGATCAAAGTTTATTACATACTGTAATAACCTGAGTGTAAGCCCAGCACGTGATGATATCAAATGACGAAGATACGCTATTTAACGTCATCCTTGGATGGATTTTAAATCGCGCTATTAAAAATGTGTAATTTTTAGTGAATGAAAGAATAATGAGGAAGTAATGATAGGAATTACGAATTTTTGATAGGAAGTACAAATATGTATTTTAAATATTAAAAGTAATGTACGCAAAGTTTCATTTCGGAGAAAAAGGTTTAAAGGTCAGAAATAATACAGAATAAAGTGAATAAATAATAATACAGAATAAAGAATAAATGGAAAAATGTAATATTCACGTAAAAATACGTTGATATTCAACTGTTTAATATATGTATTGCAATATGTTATGCATTTTAATATGAAAAGTAAAAATATTAACATGTTGCTAATTTCCAGTTACTTTTTATAAGTACTATGCAGGCAATAGTCCTTAAAAAGCTTTTTACGTTTGGAAAAAAGCGTAGACTATATTTAAAGATTTTTTTCTTTGGAAAAATTCCATAATATATTTATATATAATTTTGCATATTTATAAACACAAAAGGATATTAAAAATATAACGGTTATTCGGAAATGTACCTAAAATTTTCAACGTGTTTTCCTCGCCGGAAAAGCGACTTTCCACACAATGGAAAAAGATTTTAATATCTCAGGAGTTTTGAGATATATGCCCTCGGTACACGTATATTCGAGATATATGGAAAGTTTCAGAGCAATTGGTTCAACAGTCTCCTTGAGAAATCTTGCATGCTGATTTTGAAAACACGATTTCGAGAAAAACATTTTGAAAGTTTTAGGTACGCCGTTTCCGACCAACCTTTACAGATACTTCTAATCCCGTTGTGCTCATATAATAAATATGCAAGTTGCAAATCGATATGTCGCGGAGATTTTTCCGAAAAGATTCCCAAGAATGTAGTCTGCGTTTTCTCGCGCGCAAAAGCCCCTCGGGCGACGTTCGGGACGCGTTGCCTCACGTATAAACACGAAGGATCATTTTGGTACGTTGATCGCGTGCTCTTGTGCGGAATCCGTTGTGCGCTCCGACTAAATGAAAGTTCGCTATTTTGCGCCGCGCCGGGCAAAATGACTCTCAATGACTCACCAGATATTGAGAAACTTCTCCCGGATCTTCCGCTTCATGCTGTCGCTCTTCCGGCGGTACTGCAATCTGCGGCAGGAATCCATATAGATGGGCTCCAGAAGCTGCTTGTAGAAACCTGCGAGAGACAGCGATTTCGAGATTAAGCCGGGAACTTTCAGGCTCCACGGCACGGCATAGACAGACAGATAGACGGAGTGAGAGAGAGGCGCGATGCAACCAACGACCGGCCGTGAAAGAACGTCGAAGGTAGAATGCAGAGGCGCCGAAGCAATTTCTCGCCGAGTTTGCCGACCATTTTGCGCGGTAACTGGATTTTTATAAAGAGCATCTCATATGCTCGGAGTGTCGCTTCGTCGTTGCCCCAGTTTCGCGAGACTTCGGCCTCGACGACGACGGATCAGTCAATCCGTCGCGGAGAGAACGGGATTTCTCTTCTCCCGGCAAGGGGAGAATCTGCCCAACGAAGAACCGAAGTACGCGCGACAGCGCGAATTACATGATTCGGCCGAATTCAGCCACGACAACGTATAAATAGCCGTTGCGCGGGTTAATTTTGGCGGAGTCGACCGTGCGAGGACAGCTAATGGAATAATCGGCTGCAAAACCTGCCCCGCTCACGCGGACCACCCTCTATATGAGGCTGGCTCGAAGATAGGAATAGCTAGAACGGTTCCTTGCATGGACAAATATTTATTCAGCGGCCGAGCATGCCGCTGTTTATTCGCTCGTATATCCGTCACTCGCGTCAGATCGCCCGGGCTCGTAAAGTTTTTCGCGAAACTGTCATATTTCATCGAGACAACCGACCTCTCCCGCGCGAATCTCGGCCGCAAGTTTCGTTCCTTATTCGACGTCGCGGTAAGAAGTGAAATCTCAAAGAGGAATTCTCTTATCGCGACGATTTCACGCTCAGGAATTAACCCTCGAGCATTGTAACAAATCGTATACATGCGAAAAGATGCATAATGCATTTAAATAAATGTTACTTTTCTCAGATATTTCATAATTCGCAAGTTTAACTTAAGTTCTTCATAAGCATCAAAGTTATTTAAAATGCATTTTGGATTCTAGTAAATTCAGCATTTTAATCAAGAATATATTAAATTAAAAGAGAAATTCAATGGTATGCGGTAGGTTTGATTATGGTATAATCAAATCGCAATTGCCCCAAAATAATTCATACAAAAAAATACTTACTGCATTGAAGTAAATCGTATTTGTTTCAAATATTCCACAAATTTATATATCCGCAAATCTGTCACAAATTTATCATAAGCATCAAAGCTATTCAAAATGCATTCTGAATATTCGTGATTTTAACATTTCAATGAAGAATATTAAATTAAAAAAAAACTCGGTTTAGTATGACGAAACCTGCTGCAATGACCCAAAAATAATTCGTACACGCAAAAAAAGTACTTGCTGCGTTGAAGGAAATCTTATTTGTTTCAAATATTCCATAAGTTTATATATCCACAAATCTGCCACAAGTTTATTACAAGCAGCAAATTTATTCAAAATGCATTCTGAATCCTCGTAAGTTTAGAATTTTAATCAAGAATATTAAATTGAGGCAAAAATTCGGTTTGCTTATTACGTAGAGTCGAGCTAACCTTTCCTTTTGTAAAGATTTATATTCTCATAAAAAGAATAAATTCTTCTTTTCAGCAGATGATAATGATAATGATTTATAGAATTTGTAATGAGAATATTTCAAGACAATCGTAAAGAGATCCTTTGTTGAAGATAACCATCACGTAAAAGAAGGAAAGCAAGTTGAGTAATCGTTTTTTCTCAGTAGCAGAATGATACTTTTTTATTTGCACATATATTTTACTGAGGCACCAGGCAAAAGAGTATTGTTTCTCTGATCTCTCCTCACAATATTCCACAAATCATTCTTTTCTTTTTTATATCATACTTTTCCTTTATTTGACTTTATCTCGTACGATTTTAATTATGCATTGTGTGACGTTGAAGTCATCCTCGAATTTCTCAGCGCACAATATAGCGATCCTAATTTAATAAGTGATTACCTTAATCGCATTTAATTCCGGCGAGTCGAGGATTAATCTGACGAGGCATCTGCACACTGAATTGAATCGGGATAACTTTTTCAATACGCTGATAGGTTTGCCGCGTCGCGCGCGGCGATTCTATTTTCAAGCATTTCCGGATTTTCGGATGTTGCCGAGAGCGAAGGATTTGTAAGTTATTTAGACTGCATGCGAGATCAATGAAGATACCAACATATTTTCAATTTCGCGTTCACGAATATATGAAAACGCGCTAAATTCTTATCGGGAATAGAACGTGATGCATCTCGGAAAAAATCCGCGTCTCTTTCTCTCTCTCTTTCTCTTTTCCATCTCCTCAGTTCTCTATTATAATATCAACAAATATCAAACTGTTTCGACGAGTTTCGCTTGCTATAAAAATAATACAAGATCTGATAAGCAACATGAAAAATTATTTTTAAAAAATGTCTTTTAGATTCTAACTTCGTCAGATGAATATTCTAACTTAAACAAAATTTTTTTTTTATTTTTTAAAAAGCAGCAAAAATTATTTTTAGAAAATGTCTTTTAGATTCTAACTTCGTGAGGTGAATATTCTAACTTTAGGTGAATATCTCAACTTATGGGGTTACTTTCACCCAATTTATACGCACCTATAAGATTGCCTAGCTCTACCAAAACATCCTGTATAAGATCAAGAAAAGAAAATATTTGTAGAATCAATACGCAAACGAACTCCATATCCGCAATCTCTCTGAGAATCCGTCATTGTGTTAGTCGAGAAATTATATTTCTCCCTACGCGGCGAATTTCACGGCAAATTTGAGGCATACGAATTTAAATATACATCCAACATATCTAACGCGAGGCAAGGAGGTAGCGAAGAAAAAGCGGACGGAAGGGCTCTCGAGGTATTCCGCGCCGCTCGTCCATATTTATCTTCAATTTCATTTCGCTTTGATCGAGTCGACACAATTTCATGAAAATTCTTTGTGTCCCGGTATACCGGTAGGAACATAATTTCCCGTTCCCCTTCACACAGACAAACAGACAGGCCGACCGACCGCCGCCGCCGCCGTCGATGCGTCCCCCACACGACTCGCCAATTTCGCAGGGGAAAGAGTACACCGCGACGATAAATTAATTTTAATAGTCGCACACACGCACGCACAACTTGTCGCGATAATGGACCGCCGAAAGCCCATTATCATATGTATAATCATCGACGAATAATAACGGTGCCAGCCACACCGCCCCGCGACGCTGTCGCCCGCCGGAACGTTTCATTCCGTTAATGTTCGCCATTTGTGTCAAAAGCAAAATCGATACCATTCCATATTTCCGCGCCGCTTTATCCCATTCATTCCGAACCTACCGCTGTGGGATCTAATTACGAAATCGAATTCGCTACGGTACAAAGTCTATGAATTTCGCGTACCGCTACTTATGTCCCGAACTTGAAAACGTCACTCGACACGACGCTCGTCACTCGATTCGTAAATATCTAACACTCAATCTGTTGCGTGATTCTCATAGAATCGTATACACACGGAGAGAATATTATAGTTCTATTTTTCTGTATGTAAATTCCCCTCAATTTTATTATGTTTATAGTAGTGCAAGAATGGACGGTCACTAAGGTCGTCGGTAATCTTGCTAAGAAACAGAGCAAGTTCTTCTAGAAACTTATACTAGGAGAAAAAATAGAAAAAAAGAAATGAAAAAGATTCATCAAGTAAACATTAATAACATATTTACTTATGCTAATATATGTATTTTCACATTGAGAAAAATACTAAATGAGAAAATGTACATTTTCTTATACCTAATCCTTAGCTTTTCATGAAAGCAATTGTTTATTTTATTTGAATTAAAAAATTTAGATTTAGGTAAATATTCACTGAATAAATATATTTTTTATTTCTTAGATATTTTTTCTCTCAGTATAGCAAATTTTTGTAATGGCACACTGGAGTTTTTATTTCAGTTTCACTGAATAACTAATCAAATAACTAATTAAAAATAACATAAGAATAATTAATTAAATAAGTAGCATATATGAAATAAAAGAATAATCAATTGCAGATTATTGTTTCCACGGTTATAAAACGCTATAGTAATTTTTATTGTAAAATTCTCTTTATGCACATAGATTGAATGTTCCATGAAAATTCAGCTAGAAAAGGGTATCTTGTTAGTGCAGACATTCGATCTTTGTTTAGCTTGACTCTTATTGCAAGTAACCAGCTAGACAAAATCAAACGAGACAAAGATAAAATGCCCGTGGACAATGGAGAAGAAATATATGTTCTTCAAATCTTGTCTTCAAGTCTCTCATAAGAAAGCGCAGTCAACAAAATGCTGTTGACCAATTCTATTGATTCAACAGCGTTCTTTTTGCGTGTGTATACAAGTTTATGAATATCATCCAGGGTTCGAATCAAAGTTACATATGCTGTTACTTACTGAACCAGTTCAGCTGGTCGTTGTTCTCGAATTTGTTTTTGAAACTGTCTACTTGGCGCTTCATCTCTCGCAGGGCGAGCGAGGGTGCGGCGCAGGAGGCTTCTTCATATTCTCGCAATTGCCGCTCCAAGGCCGCCACGCGCCTCTCCAGAGTCCAAAGCACTTCCGCCTCGATCACCCTCGAAGAAGCGGGATGCGCGCCAACGATCTTAAAAACGAGAAAGAATGAAAATGTGCAGCCGTAACAGTCGTAAACTGACGTGTAGAATTCTCTGTCGCGAATTCCATTTCTTTCTTAAGAAGAAAAGAACGACACGCGTTGCATAATTCGTGTTTCGGAAGCACCCGCTACGTTTCATCAGTCTAACGAGCGCAAATCGACGTCCTCGTAAATATGTAAAGCGATGTGTACAGATGGGATAATTACTCATAAGGAAGGTAATCTGAACTTTCGACTTTCCCCAAAGTCACGGCGAACTTATAATGAGCCTTATCGCAAAATTGATCGCGCATTACGCGCGAGGAGCGTAATTATGATAATGTTACGGCAGTTAATCAATACGCAGATCGAGCACTCTTTATATCCCAGAAACGAAGATATATCGTTCCGCTTGAAGCACTCTAATCATATTCTCACGTGTCTCTCACATTGATTTTAACAAAAGCTGCCCACGTTCGACGAAACCTGATCATCAAATTGATGATGAGAGCGTCTTAAGATATCTATCATCAAAAGAACATCCTTCGTCGAAGACAGCGATTGCTTGAGAGAAGAAAAGTAAACTGAGTAATCGCTTTCACAGCAGTAGAATGATATAATTTGTCTATGTGTAGACAATATGAGCGACGCTGAAATTCCGTCGTTACCTGGAGGACATAAGGCGTGTCGGGCGTGTTCGGCGGTAGATGAGACGAGATGTTGAACAGCTTGTCTCCCTTGCGAAGCTTCACGATGTCCAGAGGACCAGCCTCCGCCGCGTTTCTGAAGAGTTCTGCGAACAGAAGGCGCAGTAAATTATTTCTCTTTCTCTTATACACACATACACACACAAACATCGGCTTCACATTTCCTTTTATTCCTTCGAACAGTCGTGTTACTTCGTAACGCCATGTAACTTTGCAAATTTTCCATTTGCCATCTACTTGGAGAATCCACGACGACGTGTAATGAAAAGACGACTTTTCTCAAGCCCAGCGTCTAGCATCCGCAATTTAGGCGGGCAACGACCGCGACGATGACGTCGAGATATTCTGTATAAGCGGTATTTATGACACCGGTTGCCCGATCCTCGCTATTAACCGCTCGCTGTTTACTACCGTTTAGCCGAGGGTGATATTAACTTTATTAAACGTGACGCTATCTCATCACCCCTCGCCGCTTCGTTGGCGAAGTAACGTCGCGCGAGGTTGTTTCCCAATTACGTCGGATCTACTGTCGCGGGCGGGATAAACAGCAGCGCGTTACGCGTTACCGAACACATAAAAAATAAAGGAAAAAGGTCACCCTCGTCAGCAGGACGCGGTTCGCACGGAGCTCGGCTGTTCGGCTGTATGACTGTTCGCGCGCGCTTTTTCCCCGGTATATCGAGCGTGCGACACCCGTGCGAGAAGGAGACACAGACAGAGGAAGAGGGAACGGTAAATGACGTTTTGTAAGTGCATGTTTTATTCATAGTCGAAGCGAGAGTCGCCGAGCTCATCCACGGGATGTAACGGGCGCGAATCACTACACGCCCCGGCAATTACACTGGACGATACAACGCCAGGGTGACGGCCGTAAATGCGCCCTCGTCTCTACGTGAGCCGTAGCTGGCGTACAATATCGTCGGGAAGTTCAGGAACACCAAGTGAGCAGCTTGAGCGAACCATTTTGGTCACAAGCGGCTCCGCCGTAACATTGCCCGGCCCATGTTTTGGGAGTTCAATCTCGGAAAGAGAAGTTACAACGATCGCGCGGAAACACCGGGGAATTATCCGAAAAACTTATTGCGCACTGATCTTGCCACGCGATATATACCAAATTTCTCCAAATTTCCAAAATTTTTCTCAGAAAACAGAGTGACTAAAGAATTCGAGTCATAGAATTTGAATGTGATTCTTCACTCACATAAAGTGAGTTCTCCACTCTGAATCGTCGAGTAAACATTTTCACTCAAAATTGAAAAATATATCTGGTATATTTCACTTTTAGTTAAAAGCGCAAAAGTAATTTGGTAGTTAGAATTGAAAATGTGATGTCGGTATTTGTTTCTTACACTCTGACTTCGCAATTGTCTCAGCTTCAGTACGGTCGATTTTGTTCTAATTGTGCATGCATATGTGAATTATATGTCCATTAATATACTGTTAAAATTCAAAAAAATTTTCAAGAAAATGAGTTTATGGGTTTACCAACCCAAGCCCTTTCACCTGAATAAAAAGCTAACTGAGAGTAAATGGGAAGAAATTTTTAGCTGGGAGTCGAATTTTCTTTGCGTGACGATCTGTCGCGCACGTCACGCGCGTTTCAAAATCACGATTTTCCACCTCTTTCATTAAATGCGAGAAACGCGTGGGAGAAAATCAACGTTAATAAAAAAAAAAATGCGTGGAGTTCATCGAAAGATCAACATCGCTACGTATTCCCCTTCCGTGTTTTCTCGGACATTCCGCACACATCTCGCACGTACCGCCCGGGCTTATATCATTACGAGAAACAATAGCGGCAGCCGCGAAAAAAATCGACGAATAAATGATACAATCCGCGCCGTATCTGTCTGTCTTATTTTAGCGCATGCGGTGGCCTGAAATATTAAAGAGCGCAACGCGCCGACTATGTATCCAGCTTTCAAGTCCAACCAGGCGGTAACCTGCTGGACACCCGAGCTTTCGAGCTTAGTGGCTAATGAAAAATTCGGTGGGTCTTATGGATGTGCTGATGAACAAAACTATAATTTAATCATATAATCTGCGAACGATGAACGACATTGTGATACGCGATAAAGATAGACAGATAGAGAGAAAAAGAGAGAGAGAAAGAGAAAGAGAGAGATAGGGGGGGGGGAGAATGAGAGAGACAGAAAGTATAAATTACTACATAAAAAAAAAAGATTGAATTAACCAAATATCTGGTCGAATATGGACGATCCAGAAATTCTGATTGAAGTAACTCGAATTCTGTTTAAGTTAATAAGATTTTTGGTAGACTAACCAAACATGTCTGTTTATTTAACCAAACATGTCTGGTTAAATAAACAGACATGTTTGGTTAGTCTACCAAAAATCTTGTTAACTTAAACAGAATTCGAGTTATTTTAATCGGAATTTCTGGATCGTTCATATTCGACCAGATATTTGGTTAATTCAACCAAATTTTTTTTTTATGTAGTAATTTATACTTTCTGTCTCTCTCATTCTCCCCCCCTCTCTCTCTCTCTCTCTCTCTCTCTCTCTCTTTCTCTCTATCTGTCTATCTTTATCGCACAAGATAATCAGATATTTGGTTAATTCAATCAAATCTTTTTTTCCGTGTATAACTTATTAAAGCATAAAATAATTGGATTAGCATAAATTGAATGTGGCACATTATGCCGAGGCGTAATATCATTCAAATTTCCGCAATATGTCTTTCTCAAATTGCCGCTTCTGTCCTCCGCGATCACTTTCCGTTCTTTCCGTTCGCTCACAATTAAAAACGACATCTCTCGGAAAGGAAAAAAGCGGTAATGATAAATGATTGATCAGGATCGATTGGTTGAAAACCGTCGATGCGTGCGTGTAAATTAAAGAACGGAAAAACTCGGTCAATTACACTTAGTGCCGCGATTGATGATGCATCGACACGTTGGTGCGTCGACGAAAGAAAGGGAAAGGACGAAAAAAAGGAAACAGGATCGGCAGACTATCCTCGGCGCTGATAACGCCATCGATGCAAAATGCACGTCGCGTTTCCGCACGCCGAGCGCTTTCCCGCGATGAAAAATGGAGAGAAACGTTGAAAGTTGGCGTGATCATTTATAAAAGTGCCCGACGTCGCTCTTTTTCCAGTCGCCCCTGACTGACGCGAGCCTCGGGGGTGAAATAAAAATATTCCAAGCGTCCGCTTTACGCTCGCCCCTTTAGAGAGGGCGAAAGGATACGGAAGCGCGTAACGAAACACGAGAAATCATCGTGTTTCACGATTTATCCGAGCCGCGCAGGAAAGGCGGCTGAAACGAAACACCCGGCGGAAGGTTGGAGCGACCGCGCGCTGTCACGAATTCGTTCCGTTTTATGCGCGAGCTTTACGAGAGCGCGGCCGTTTCCGTCGGAATTTTACTGTCCAAAACGGCCGAAACGAGAGGCGTGAAACGCGCAAACGCCATTAGTTATTATCGTCGAAATATCGTTGACGTGTTTGCACACGCGGAAAATACTCGTACACTCGGTGATTATCGCGACGTTCGCGAGCCAAGAAATATCAAAGAGCGCACAGCACGATGGATGCACTCGAATCCAAATACATTGTATACTTGTCTTATTGACAAGTATAATTGTCTTATTGTCTTATTGTTGAAAATATATATAGAACAACGCGCGTTCTTTGAGCTGGCACTTGTTTTCTCTCTCTCTCTCTCTCTCTCTGAATTTCTTGGAGTAAAATTTCACTAAAAACAAGTGAGAAATGACAGCATCTTCACACAAAGTGATAGTGAAAATACTGCTATTCAAAATTGCAAGAGCGAACATTTCATTCAAGCTTGAAATGGATTCTGATTCTATATGAACGAATATTTCAATCTATTGGAGCGAATATACTCCTCAAATAGTGGAATACATCAGATTTACCCCTTAAATTCAAATGAAAATATTCATTCAATATTCATTCAATAAATCAAAGTAAAGAACTTATTCTACGTAAGTAAAATAGCTCGAATTCAAGTAACCACCGGTGGTCATCCCAGTTTTCGAGTGAAATTTTACTCCGAGAAATTTATTGCATTGTTACTTTTGATTTTATTATGATTGTTGTAAACAATTATAATAATTTTTTAGATAATAATTAAAGAAAATTGCTGAATTAATTCACTCTTTAATCTCCAGTGAAAATATTCATTCAACGAATCAAAATAAAGAATTCACTTTATATGAGTGGAAAATTACTTGAATGCGAGTGACTTGATAGCCATTCTATTTTTCGAGTAAAATTTCATTCCACGAAAATTTATTGCATAATTGCTTGCAAACAATCATGATAATTTTTGAGATATTAATTTGAGAAAATTATTTAATTAATCTATTCTTCAATTTTGAGTGAAAGTACTCATTCGATGAATTTATTTTACGCGAATGAGGAAACACTTGAATTCGACCTACTTCACTTTTTGGTTGAAATATCACTTCAAAACATTTAGAAAGTGTTTCAATCCATAGTAACAATATCAATTTTGTTATTGTTACAACAAAACAAGTTAAAACAAAAAAACGAATCTTTGATCACGAATGAAAACGAACGATCACGAGTGATAGAGGTTACATATTGCTCATGTGTATCGTGCTTGCCGTGTTTTAATTGATCGCGACACTCGAGTCTTTCGAATGGACAATGAAAGAGCGGCATAGAGGCGTGTGGGGAAACGCACGGAAAAGATTGTTTTTTGTTTTATGTCGCTACGTCAACTCATTCACAAGTTATAGCCGTCTAACATTGATATCTGATATCGACTTGGTTCTTACAGTGCGCACTTGTTCTCTCTCTCTCTCTCTCTTTCTCCTCTTCTCTCTCTCTCTCTCTCTCTCTCCCTCTCTCTCTCTCTCTCTCTCTCCCTCTTTCCAGCGCTATATTGTTTCATACATGGACATAGTATACATGAACTCCGAATGCTCTATGTTCTGTCGTCTAATAGAGTGAAGCCAACATTTAGAAAGAACTAGAATAGAACTATAGTTTTCTTCCTTTTTGTCACTTTTTTGTTGCACGTGCATCCATTTCTCGTTTCCATAATATTATAGAGCGCAACAGCACTCCGACTAG